GTAGGCTAAGGTCTAAGCACTAAGGGAACAAGGGGCTAGCCTCAAAACCCTAACACTAAGCTAAGTGAACGACCAGCAGCTAATCGACTAAGTGGATTAGGATTGTTAGTGAGTGAAGCTTTGGGAAAGCTTACGAACGGGTATCCTTTGATTCCCTTTACAGTGGGAAGGAAGAAGCGTAGCGGGACGGGAGGAGTTAATACCGGTTAGCCCCTCGCTTTATGGCTTAGAAGAGTAGCTGGCATTGGCTCTTTTTAGGGACAGTCGATCAAGGAGATGACGGAAGATGGCATCAAATCAACGGCGTAAAGGCTTGGATGACTTTATTTAGGCCATGGCACTCTTTTCAATGGCAAGGACAGCTTTCGTCGTTTTTTGACTAAAGACATTCAATTTCGATCATTACTCCAGATTCCGTAATCCGACGTGAACTTGCACGACTGAGCTGCGCTGCGTTTGCCTAGCTGGGTGAAGGACGTAAAGGAAGAGGGCCGGCAAGTTACTTATTTTTGATTCCCAGATGCATTGAAATAACAAATAAGCATAAGCAGTAAGTAGCGAGGATCACAGAGAGAAGGTGATTCACGGTGAAGTATTAATGGGAGACCAACTCCGGGTACTAGTAATAGACTTTCTTACAGGTCTTATATCCGAAGCTCGAGTCAAAGTGGGAGGAATTGCTTTCTAGTTCGACGAGAGCCAGATATTTGTTATATCCATGTTTATCTTACTATACCACTTGATATTAGATATTCAAAGATGGTCACTCTATTCTTTTAGCTATTCACTCACTGCACACTAATAGAATCTAAACACTTTCAAAGTGTGGTGGATTTATAAAGGTAGGTTGGCTGTGCTTGGGTCTCCTTCTCTTGTGTGCGTCTTAACTATTATTGAAAGGACAGGATCAGTATGACCTCTGGCTCAAGGCCTTTAGGCTGAGCCCATTCATTCCATTCGATCGATCTGACCTATTAAGCGATAATAGCAGAGGAGGATTTTTTTGAATTGAATAAAGCAAGACTTTCCCTGAGTCGCCTATAGTAAGGAGCTCTGAAGCCCCTAGGCAAAAGCTTTGCCCAAGCTCGTCGCAGAAGCCATGACCCAGTTTATATTATAGGGTAGGCGGAAGCCCATAAGGCCCCATGTCCACGGTGCAGCGCCCGCAATGGTTGCTTTGAGAGCAGTTCTAATAGAGAAAGTAGGCGTGGAGGAATACCAAAGGTAGCTAAAGGCGTTGAAAAAGCCTGACTCTCTTCTTCAGCAGCACTTCAAGCTTCTCTTCCGTCTACCGATCCGCGGTTTGCCATAAATAGCGCTTTCTTTTTTAACTTCGGGTATAGATAGTATCGAATTGCTATAGGCATGTGGGCTTTAAGAGCCTTGGGCTATAAATACTTAAGAAATGGAAGAACTTAGTGGAACCGTAGTAGAACCGATAGAAGAGCAAGAGAGAAGAGCTATTCATGAATAGATGACCAAAAAGGCCTTGTCACGAGCTGGAGTCGAACCAGCACCTCTGGGAAATGAAGACAATCCCAGCGAACTACCATTTCTTCTAATCGTGACTTTGTTCACCCGGTTCGTCATGCACAATCAAAGCAAAACTAAAATGACTACATCCGGTCGCGTTTCCGCTAAAACACTAGAATCCCAAAATGAGTTATTTAAAGATGTATGTGACATAGGCAGGGCCATCTTTTTTGAGCCTTTGTCTCAAGAGATCTAAAAACTTGATTTCTTCTTGGTCCCTTTCTCCCACGTCCACTTCCAATTCCCTCCGGTCCAGTCGGTCGCGATGTTGGCCCAAGAAGTCGTTAAACGCTTCTTGGGGGTTGTAAGGGGCCTGGGCGGCCAAGGTAGGATTCTGGGTTAAGACTTTTTGAAAAAGTCGTAGACACTCATGTTTGAGTTCTCGGATCTGTAGATCCCTGTTCTCAAACTCGAGTAATCTTTGATACTCTTGCTGGGAGGGAGCTTGCCCCAGCGCGAGTTTGATGTCGGACCAATATTCTCCCTTTTCCTTATCCAGCAGATAGGAGCTACCGTCCCCCTCGAGTCGTGCAATGCGATTTCGCATCGACGATTCCAAGCTACAATTGTGGGTAAGGGGGGGCGGCCCCGCTTCATCCACCCTTGGGATCGCAGAACGAGCCGATGTGCCTTCCATTTCCGGTTCGGGCGAGGGCTCCATCAACACTTTGATCTCGAACGAATCCTCCGTCCAGGAGGAACCAGAATTGGAAGGGATTATTCCCCCACCCGACGGACTCATCATATAGATTTCGGCCCCACTAGCGAATAAAGCCCTCGCAGCAAAACCAATCAAAAAAATAATAAAACCGGAACACCCTACTTTAAGTAAGAGTAGCGAGAGAGATCGAACCCCAAAAGAAAGAGTAGCCTTAAAGAATAAGGCATGAACGAACTCCGATTGTCCGCACCGGACCCCAATAAAATACAATAAGACCCCTAATACTACAAGGAGAAATAAAGAAAGTAGAGTAGTTCTTACTCTTTTTTGCATTCCTTATTTCTTAAAACCTCGATCTTCAAAGAAAACTGACTCCTCCTACTCCTTCTTCTCCTTTAGGATAGGATCGTCGTTGGTCCTTCTTTCACTAATGATCTAATGATCTCACCATTTTCTAGTAGTTCTCGCTCCTAGCTCGCGGAGCGGCATACCGGGAAAGAATTCACCCTTTCGCTTGCGTGAGCAACGGCCCCTAGCGCCCAGAGCAAGCGCCTTTAGTGTTCCCGACCGCCTGCCTTTCGGCCTTAGCGTTCCAAACAACCAGTAGTGTGACCGATCTGTGTTCAAAACAACCGATGACGCTAGCGACGACTCGTGGGGCCCCCTAACGCCGAACAAAAAAAAAGGACTAGTGCTATAACGACGAGTGGTGTGGTCCTAACAACCTAATATGGTAACGACAACTCGTAGTGGTCCTAACTACTAGCAACAACCACTACGGCAAGCGCCACAACGACGATAACGCTAGACCGTAATATATAGGCTTGCGAAGCAACCACTCCCTTGGTAACCTTGCTCCGCAACCATCGAGTCGGCCTTACCAAACCAAAGACAACTAGTGTTCCCAAAGACGGAAGAACGACATGCGACGGAACAAGACGGTAAAGCAACCACTCGTTGTCGTTTAGTTGTCCGTCACTCGTAGTCTCTGCGTCATAGGTGGTTGTTCGGAAGGGTTTGACAACGTAACAGACAGCTAGGCAGTTACTACGCAACACACATTGGGGTGGTGCAACAATGGAACGACTAGTAGTCTACGACTAGTGGTGTTACGGAACAACTACCCGACGAGTGGTAATAACGACAACTACAGTAGGTTTGACAGTAGCGTTAGGACGACTGGTTCTCGTAGTTGTATTGCCCTAACGCAACGACTCAAACAACTACGAGTGCTCCCAAGACGATGAGACGCATGCGCTATACCGTCGAGTATTGCTTGCGAAGCAACCGCAACTCGTTGTAGGTCCTCTCCTTACATTACAGTCGAGTAGCTTTCACTCCTTCGCTTGCAATGTGCGGTTGGTTTACCTAACGCATGGCTTCCCCAACGCCAATAGTCGCATGAGTTCTCCTAGACCGGAACCCATGCCTTTAAACAAACCGCATGATGCGTTCCGGAGTTGCCGTAGTTCTGTTACCGCCTTGTCGTCTTGGGTTGGGAAGGATACGACAGGCTCAATTCAAGGACACTCAATTTCAAGCTCAATTTCAGGCTTTCGAAGCTCTGACGCTTTCTGTCGCATTTGTTCTCTCTTTTTTTTACCTATCATTTTCACTTTCTTTAACCGTACTTAGGTAGCTCTTCGTTCGTTCGGCAGAGGCGTAGAGCTATCTACTTGGTCGCGACTGGCTCTGCTACGCTAGGTTCTCCCTATGGCGCTACGCATCGTTCCCTTCGGTCGAGCGAATCCCATTGTTCCGGTCCGAGAATCCCTATGTCTGAGGTCGAGCAGCTACGCTCTCGTTGGTCGAGGTTAGATCCTCGTATGTCGCCACTCTCGTCACTGGGCGTTCTCACTTTTTCCTTGTTATCTCAGGACACTCTGCCAGGTTGTTCCTTGTTGACCGGCCTTGTGATTCTCGTTATAGAATGTAGTGCCCAACAGTTTAAAGGAACGGGTGAAGTCTCGGGATCCGCTCTAGTCGAGTAAGAGATTTCCCCTGTAGAGTAGTCTCCGTATCAGTCCATGGGCTAAGGTGCAATTGCCTTCTTAGAGCCAGTAACTTCGTACTTTAAATTGGAGAAAAAAGAGTTCCAGAGGCATCTTCCATTCATCTCTATTTTGGTTTTTCTGCACCATATTTTGATCTCCCTTTTCTTCGATCCGGAATTCCCAACAAATCCTTGACTCCTCGAATACAATGGGATTTCACACCTGGCGAATCTTTCACTCTACCTCCTCTTATTAAGACTATAGAATGTTCCTGCGAATTATGACCTTCCCCCGGAATGTGAGCAAATATATCATGTCGATTGCTCAACCGTACTTTGGCTATCTTACGTGGAGCTGAATTCGGTTTTTTCGGTGTTCTCGTTGGTACACGCGGGCGTACTCCTTGCTTCTGGGGACATTGATCCGAAGCTCGAGTACGGTCCGTGCGCCGTTTTTCTTCTCTACCATGACGAATCAATTGATTTAATGTAGGCATCGGTCGCTCTTTCTTTCTTTTGTCCTTCGCCCCGATTTTTCCCCTGTAATGTAACTAGTGTTTACTCCCGATCCGAAGCACCCCTTTTCCATTCATAGAGAGATCCAATCGTCAAAATCAATAAAAAGGCCATCATGGACCAAGATCCAAAGGGATCAATCTTGTTGGGAGGTACTGCCCAAGGAAAGGAAAAGGTGACTTCCGGATCAGGGATAATAAATAAAATAGAAACAAGATAAAATCGTATATCAAAACGACTTCTGGCATCACCGAAAGGATCGAAACCACATTCGTAGGCCGACAATTTTTCTGGGTA